CTTTCCCTCTTAAAGCTTTGAGGCTTCTACTTTCCCCTGGAAAACAGCAGTTTTACTTCCCCTTCGAGGCTTACAACCAGCACAACTTGCGCCTGTCCTGTACATATCCTGAGTCCATTTTCGAGGGCTCCTGATACCTTGGTAGAAGGTCTCCTCGCTCGATGGAATCGGTGCTTACAATAGATGTCACACATGTAACCATCAGACCCACCACTGACAGAGTGAGCTCTCCTCCCCACCCACTCCCTGACGAAGGCGTTCACCTGCGAGTTTCTGAACTGCTGCTCAGGGAGAACCAGGCAACAGTCCTTGGCCCCTCGGTGCCCAGGGCAGAGCTGGAAGGGGTTGGTCAGCTCAGCAGGCCCTGGTGGAGGAGGGGCAAACTGTTGAGAGGCGGGTTTCCCCCTTGCAGCAGAATCGGCAGGTGTCGCTCTGTGGTCAGAACATCTCTGATCCAACAGCTCCTGCCCCAGAGGAAAGCGCCTGTACTCACCCTCCTGAGAGCTCTGGCTCACACCAAAGACCACCCTCAGCCTCCACCCTGACAGACAGCACAGGCACAGCCAGGAGAGAGTTCACCGGAAACTGGACAGCTTCCTTCAGTGGATGGCTGGGGTTCAGTCTCAGCAATCTGCTAAGAGTCTCAGTCTCCCTTCCCCCGGCATTAGGTTTTCACTAATGGTAATTGAAAGACTTGGATCAATGCGTCTCGGCCTGATGTTACCTGATGGGCTTAAAAAACTGCTGATGCAAGGCTGCACCCCCATCGCCAAGTCTGACGGCTGACATCAGTAAGAGATGCCTCCTTCCAGCACTCTTCCCAGGGGATTCTCAGTATGAGAAGGCCCAGCTCAGCTCAGCCTGGCTAGGCAGCTCTGGTGCTACTGGTCTGAGTGGGTCTGGACGTCCTGCAGTTTCTGAGTCCTGGCTCAGGGCTCTGCAGCTGCCATACAGACCCCTGTCTAGCAGCAGGGTCCTTCCTGCCGGTGTTTTGTTTATTTCTTTAAAAGTTTGACATTTAGAGGAAGTCATTCTAGCCCCAAGGCACAGCTTCCCTGGGAGACAACCACGGACAAGCTTGTGAGTCCTCCAATACAGCCCAAAGGTGTCACGTGAGAAGGTTACTTACCAAATATTTTAGTCAAACCTTCATCTAGATTTTTGGAACTTGAGGCAAGTTCATTATTTGAACCTGTAGGAGAAATAAACTTAGTTGTGATTCAGTGTCGTGCTGGCTCGGCACACATTCTCCTCGGGCCAGAGGCTTTCACATGCTGCTTTGAGCGGCGCACCCTGCAGGGAAGATGCGCTAGACTGAATCTCAGTCCAGCCTCCGAGCGCCAGCCTTGGGCAGTGTCTTATCCTGCTATTGCATTGCTAACAGAACCGCCCGAGACCGCGGGATGTATAAAGAAACAGGTTTAGGGCCAGCAGGTGATGTGGTGGTTAAGGCAGCTGGAGCCCATGGCTGACGGTGCAGTCTGAGTCCCAGATTTGGCAGTCTGACACATACACTAGGCATGTGTGCATACATCCCGAAATTCCAGGAGGAGAATGGAGGAGAAGGGATTGTGACTGACCATCCTCCCTGGGTGTGTAATTTCTCTATCACTCTTTCTCACTCTGGCAAGCACATATGCCTTATAGAACATTTTAAAAGAAAGAAGAAAAAGGAGAAAGAGGAGGAGGAGGAAGAGGAGGAGGAGAAGAAGAAGGGGGGGAGGAAGAAATAGAGGTTTATTTAACTCATGATTCTAGTGGTTGGAAAGTCCAAAGGCACTAAGGACGTAAAGCTGACATCAAGCCAGCATACAGCAGGGCCAACAGAAGCAGAGATCAGCAAGTGCATGCCCCCAGCTCTCTCTTTTATTACAACCTGCATCACGAGGTCTAGAACTCACTGAGCCTCTCACAAGACAGCGTTAATCAGTTCATGTGCCTCTGGGATCCAATCGCCATCCACTACAAACAAATTCCAAAACAGGAACCTTTGGGAGATAATCCATTACCTAAACCATGGCACACAATAAAGTTCCGTCGATTTGGCTTTCTTGCCCAAGGACTGGTAGGAAAGCCACAGGAAGCTGGAGGAGGGAGAGGGAGACACACTTTGCTTATGTGATCTGGAGATCGAAAGTGCCCTACCTTCATATCATTCAGTGTTATAACTTAGTATGAACTATAATAAACGGAACTCGTTCCAAGAAGAGTTACGGTCAGTGCTCAATTTTGGGGGGAGCAAAAGCAGATGAACGAACATTTCGGATTTTTTAGGTTGAAACTTTCCCCTCCATGTGGAGTGGTGGTGATGAAGAATGACTTTGACCATGCTGGAAATGCATTGCTTTAGAGGTCAGCAGGTGGCACAGTAGCTAAGGCACTGGACTCCCGCACGGCCAACTGTGATTCAAGTCCCAGAACTGGCAGCTTGAAAATCACATCAGGCACATGCTCTTTCTCACTCTGGCAAGCACATATGCCTTATAGAACATTTTAAAAGAAAGAAGAAAAAGGAGAAAGAGGAGGAGGAGGAAGAGGAGGAGGAGAAGAAGAAGGGGGGGAGGAAGAAATAGAGGTTTATTTAACTCATGATTCTAGTGGTTGGAAAGTCCAAAGGCACTAAGGACGTAAAGCTGACATCAAGCCAGCATACAGCAGGGCCAACAGAAGCAGAGATCAGCAAGTGCATGCCCCCAGCTCTCTCTTTTATTACAACCTGCATCACGAGGTCTAGAACTCACTGAGCCTCTCACAAGACAGCGTTAATCAGTTCATGTGCCTCTGGGATCCAATCGCCATCCACTACAAACAAATTCCAAAACAGGAACCTTTGGGAGATAATCCATTACCTAAACCATGGCACACAATAAAGTTCCGTCGATTTGGCTTTCTTGCCCAAGGACTGGTAGGAAAGCCACAGGAAGCTGGAGGAGGGAGAGGGAGACACACTTTGCTTATGTGATCTGGAGATCGAAAGTGCCCTACCTTCATATCATTCAGTGTTATAACTTAGTATGAACTATAATAAACGGAACTCGTTCCAAGAAGAGTTACGGTCAGTGCTCAATTTTGGGGGGAGCAAAAGCAGATGAACGAACATTTCGGATTTTTTAGGTTGAAACTTTCCCCTCCATGTGGAGTGGTGGTGATGAAGAATGACTTTGACCATGCTGGAAATGCATTGCTTTAGAGGTCAGCAGGTGGCACAGTAGCTAAGGCACTGGACTCCCGCACGGCCAACTGTGATTCAAGTCCCAGAACTGGCAGCTTGAAAATCACATCAGGCACATGTGCATGCGTGCTCAAAATCCTGAGAGGAGGGTAGCCAAGAAGGGATTGCGGCATGGCCACCCCTCGCCAGGGGGAGATTTCTCACTTTCCTGCTCTCTGTCTCTCCTTGGTGAACATATGTGCCATATAGCAAAACCCCCCCCAAAAAAATTAAAAGTAAAATAAATAAAGGAAATGTACTGCTTCCTTGCTTAGGAGGAGAGAAAAAAAGGCTCCTGCTGACTCTTACTAATCCAGGCTGTGGGTCTATATTTGTGAGGGATCTCAGGGGGCCAGAGGTAATCTCTACTTGATCGTATGTCGAGCACTAGGAATTCCTGATTTTGTCACTGATAAACAAACAAAAAAATGAAGGTGCGGGACCAGCAGTTAGCGTAATGGCTATGTCGCTGGACTCCCACGTAGTCGACCGCGGTTTGAGTCCTGTACCCGGTGGCTTAAACTCACGCCAGGCGTGTGTGTGTGAATGCCCAAGATCCCGAGAGGAGAATGGAGGAGAAGGGATTGCAGCGTGGCCATTCTCCCTGGCGGGTGATTTCTCGCTTTTTGTCTCTCTGTCTCTCTCTGTCTGTCTGGCGAGCGCACACGCCCTATAGCAAAAAAAAAAAAAAAACTCTCCTAAATAAATAAATAAATGGAGGTGCAAATGGAAGTAGAGTGGTCAGCAATCTCCCCTAGGGCTTCATGAACTGATCTCAAGTTGATACTCACATACCTACTGTGGATGTGAACAAACTGACAAAAGATTGCACTATCAAAACCTGGAGAGATGTTGAGTTATAATCCCAGGCTTTTCTTTGTAAAAGTGACACTTAATTTTTTATTTATTTATTTATTTATTTATTTATTTATTTATTGCTTGCCAGAGGGTGGCGTGGAAGAAAGAGAGCGAGGAAGAGAGAAAGGAAGCACATGGTCGCACTGCAATTCTTTTTTTTCCCATTTCCCACCCCATCAGGATCCCCTTCTCCAGCCCTCCAGCTGGTCAGGATCTTGGGCACTTATTGTGTGACTGGTATCTTTTCGGGCAGACCTGGGGAACTGAACCCGTGGTCAGCATGTGACTTCCATCACAGGGGTCCAGCACGTTATGGGCTACACTACAAAGGCTGAGCTGGCCTGTTTAATTTTGGAAAACAATACCAGAACTTCTTTGTCCCTCACAAAGCCTATGTCTACTGCTTTTCCCTTTCTCTGCATTCCCAATATCTTTACATTGAGAGAAAATCACAGAATAGGGTCAGCCAATTAATGTATTAAATGGCAAAAGTGGTTCCAAATAAGACCCTAAGATAGAGAAAAGAACTCTAACACACATTTTGCAAAAGCTAAGTTCATAATGGTGTGATTCCTAATAGCCAAATGATGAAAACAACCCAAATATCCATCAACTGATCATAGATAAACAACACGTGACACAGACATACAGGGAATATTATTCAGCCATAAAAAGGAATGAAGTACATGGGGCCAGCAGGTGGTATGGTGATTAGGGTGCTGGATCCCATATGGGCGACTGTGCAGTTCAAGCCCCAGACCCGGCAGCTTGAAAAACACTCCAGGCACAAGTGCATGCATGCCCAAAATCCCAAGAGAAGAATGAGGGAGAAGTGCTGCATGACCATCTTCCCTGAGGGGTGATTTCTCCTTCCCCCACCCCATCCCTCGTCTGTCTCTGGTGAGCATATGTGCCCTATAGCAAAAACTAAAAGAAATTTAAAAAAAAAAAAAAGGAACATGCCAATATATGCTACAATATGTATGAACCCTGAAGACATATTAAGTAAAAGAGGTCAGTCACCAAATATCACATCCAGGGGTCTTCAAAAAGTTCATGGAAAACACCTGTTATGAAAAATCTATATGTGGATTTCAAAAACTTTGTAGCAAAACACACACATTCTTGAATTCCATTTTCCATGAACTTTTAAAAGTCATCTCGTTTAACATGATTCCATTTATATAAAATGTCCAGATAAGACAAATCTAGAGAGCAGACCACAAATTAGGTTGCTGGGGATGGGTGTGGGGGGGAATCGGACATGCCGATTAGTGATTCTGAGGTTCCTTTTTGTGGTGATGAAGATGTTCTGAAATTAGATAGTGGTAATTCACAATTCCACGAGTATAGTAAAAGCCATTGAATTCCGCACTGTGAGAAGGCTGGATGCGATGGCAGGTGAATCACACCTTCATAAAGCTCTTACTGAAGTGTGTGTGCATGCGTGTGTGTGTAGACAAAGCAGCATGTGGCAGTACTAAGCTTCCTTTGTATACGTTTGAACTTTTTGATAGCAAAAAGTTAAAATGGGGGCCAGACAGTGGTGGAACAGTAACACAGCTAGACCCACATGGGAAGGTCCTGGGTTCAAGCGCCAAAGCCCCCTGTGTACACCAGGCACACATGCACCCGTGATCCAGGCTGGCTGACACCAGATGTGGACGGTGGTGTGAAGACCCCGTCGGAGGTGCCTGTATCTCTCTGTCGCTCCGCCTCTATCCCTTTCTCAGAAGAAATGAATAAAGTTGTTTTTTGTTGTAGTTGTTGTTTTGTTTGTTTGTTTTTGTTTTTCAGTTAAAATGGGAACCAGCAGATGGCATAGTGGTTAAGGTGTTGGACTCCCACGTGGTCCACTGTGATTCAAGTCCCAGATGCGGCTTGAAACTCATGCCAGGCACACGTGCAAGAATGCCCAAAATCCCGAGAGGAGAATGAAGAAGGGATCCATGGCATGGCCATCCCCCCAGAAAGTGCTTTTTATCTCTCTGTCTCTGTCTCTCCAGTGAGCACACATCCCCTATTCCCCTATAGCAAAAAAAAAAAAAAAAAAAAAACTCTCAGGAAAAAAAAAAAAAACGTTAAAATGGAGACCAGCAGGTGGTTTAGTAGTTAAGGTGCTGGACTCCTACATGGTTGACCACAGTTGAATCCCGGACCTGGTGGCTTGTTCTCATTTTCTCTGTCTCTCTCTGGTCAAATTTTAAAAACAATAATAAATAAAATGAACTAAATCTTTAAAAAATAAATGAAAAGTTAAAATGTACATGTATGCTATCTTCCCATGGAGCTCTGGATTTTGAGAAAGTTTCAAAGTTAAGAAAACTTTTTTAAGTCACTTTTTCCAAGCAATAAATTCCAAAGAGTAAATTCAGGGGAGAAGAAGGTAGGCGGGAGAAAGCCTTTGTTCACCACCCCACACTTAGAGAGGGGAACCCAAGCCCTGCCTGCCGTAAGCTCACGCTCTCTCTAGCCTCTCGGGTGGGGCTCTGCACCTGGCCAACTGTCCAGCCACAGGACAAAGAAGAGGGTCCCAGCGCTGCTCATCTTCGCCATAGTCTACACCAACAGAGACAAGTCAATCTACTGAAGGTCCTCGGACTCGGCCCTGAACTCCAGGGTGTTGCGGAACCCCGTGGTCTGTGAAGTCACACCCAGAGTGAGGTGGGGGGGTGGTGGTTCTACAGTGGGAAAGGGGAAAGAGCCATGTCAGTGGATAGGATGGAGGGGGACACTGACCTGAAGTGACGGCCTCTCTGCTAGCTTGCCTTGGATCCCTGGTGCCGTCCCCAGTCCCACACGCTCCGTAGCCTGAAGGCACCGGGATAGTAACCAGGACTCTTCAAGTTGCAATGCCAAAACTCAACTAAATCAGCTTAAGTCAATTGGGAAGTAGCTAAAATAGCCAGAAAACTCATATGCTCGATTGAGAAATCACACTAATTAAGTGTTATTTACTATATTACATAAAATTGTGACAGTTGGGCCAGAAGGTGGTGCAGCAGTAAAACTCAATGCTCTGCAAGACTGGCCCTCATGGGAGGGTTCCAGGTTCATATCCAGAGACCTCCCTGACTATGCCAGGCATGTGGATGCCCATGACCTGAAGCTGCCTGAGCCTAGGGGTGAATTGTGGAGTCAAGACCCTGCTCTGTATATATAATACAGAAAATAACATGAACCAATGGGTACCTTCATGTCCTTACTCATGTATGGCTACTTCCCCTACTAGATCTTATAAGTATTAAATCATTTTCAACGGCAAAGTCTTTGTATTTTAGTACTCTAACTGTACTTTTTTTTTTTTTTCTGGAGAGAGTTCTGCTATAGGGCATGTGCACTTGCTAGAAAAAGAGAGAGAAAGTGAGAAATCACCCCCCCCCCCGGGGGGGGGCAGGGATAGCCATGTTACAATCCTTTCTCCTCCATTCTCCTCTGGGGCCTTTGGGCATGCATGTGCATGCACCTGGTGTGAGTTTCAAGCCACCGGGTCTGGGACTCGAATTGTGGTTGACCATGTGGGAGTCCAGCGCCTCAACCATTACACCACCTACTGGCTCCTAACTGTACTTGTTTGCATTTTCATTTTGTACCAGGTGTCCCACAAATTATGTAGCCAGCCTACTCTTGAGCCCTCACCTTGGCGCACTGGGAGCAGTGGCTGGAATGGGGAAGCTCTTCTGGGGCGAAGACAGGGCCTTGAGGGAAGGAACTCTTCTAAGACTTGGCCTGCAGATGGCCATTTTCTTCATTTTCTTTTCCTGTTCTTTCTTTTTTTTTCGGGGGGACGGGGGCGAGGGGGGGAGATAGAGATATTTTTACTATAGGGCACATGTCCTCACCAGAGAGACAGAAAGTGATAAATCACCCCCAGGGAGATGGCCATGCCACAAATCCTTCTCCTCCAATCTCCTCTTGGGATTCTGGGCATGCATGCACATGCCCAGTGTGAGTTTTAAGCCACTGGGTCTGGGATTTAAACCACAATCAACTACTTACGAGTCCAGCAACGTAACCATTAAGCATCTGCTGGTCCCCAGATGGACATTTTCTACCTATGTCCTCATGTCCCTGTTGAGGGTAACATTCTCTACATTCTCTTTCTCTCTCCGGAAATAAATAAGTAAACGTGAAATGCAAACATATCACCAATAGCAGGAATTTTTTTTAGATACCATATAGACATCGCAGACATGAAAAGAAAATAAGGGTTCATATGAACAAAAAAATATTTTTTGGTCAATAAATTCAACGAGTTGGATAAAATGGACAAATTTCATGACTGACACCAACTACCAAAGCTTAATCAAGAAGAAATAACTGGGCCAACCCCGTAGTCTGGTGGTTAAGGGAGTTAGATTCCACATGGCTGACTGTGTGGTTCAGATCCCATATGGCTGATTGTGTGGTTCGAATCCTGGTCCTGGCAGCTTTAAAAACACACTGGGCATGTGCACACATGCCCAAATCCGGGCAGGATGGAGAAATGGAGAAGAAGGGATTGTGGTGTGACCATGCTCTACTGAAGGGTGCTTTCTTCTCTGTCTTCCCTGGTAAGCACATGTGCCCTCTAGCTCTATATCTATTAAATACATTAAATTTATGGGTAGAAAACTCAAAGTCCATGTGGCTCTACAGATAAACGCTAACAAGATTTAAGAAAGGAATACTACTGATTCTACACAAACTCCTCTGGAAAATTGAAGATGGTGGAATGCTTCATCCTATGAGACCAACGTTATCTGGACATAAAAAAATATTACAGGCAAAGAAAACTATAGACCAATATGTTTCATAAACACAGACACAAAAATTCTTTAAAGTTTAGCAAGTTGAATTCAGTAGTTTTGTGTTTTTTGTTTTTTGTTTTTTGTTTTTTTCCAAAAGGATAATACATCATAATCAGAAATGCAAGGCTGGTTAAATATTCAAAAATAAATCAGGATCATTCACCATATCAATAGAAAAAAATCATATGATCATCATAATAGATGCAGGAAAGCCCTTGACAAATCTAATATTGTTTTGAGATAAAATTCTATTTGAAAATAAAGGTAATTTTCTCAGTTGGATAAAAGGCATCTAAAAAAATCTCCAGCTAACATCATTTATAATGGGAAAATACTGAATACTTTCCACGTAACCTCAAGATCAAGGCAAGGATGCCCACTCTCACGATCTTTATTCAATTGTTCTAGACATTCTACCCATGCAATAGGAAACAAAAAGAAATATGGGATCATTGAAAAAGTTATGATGAACTTTTCCGTGCAAAAATGCATCATGACTTTTCTAACAACTCAATAAAAAGCAAACAGATTAGAAAAGAAGAAGTGGGACCAGCAGATGGTGTAATGGTTACATTGCTGGATTCCCACATAGCCGACCATGGTTTAAGTCCTGGACCCAGTGACTTAAAACTCACGTTGGGTATGTGTGTGTGCGTACCCAAAGTCCCAAGAGGAGAATGGAGGAGAAGGTATTGCAGTGTGGCATCCCCCCTGGAGGTTGATTTCTCAGTCTCTGGTTCTCTGGCGAATGCACACACCCTATAGCAAAAATTTCTAAAAAAGAAAAAAAAGACAGAAAGGAAGAAATGTAGCTGTCTTTATTCTCAGACAACTTTATTATCTATGTGGAAAATTCTAAAAAATAAAAAAATAGTCCTGGGGCCAGCACTTGGCGTAATAGCTGTGTCACTGGACTCCAGCGTAGTCAACCATGGTTCAAGTCCCAGACCTGGTGGTTTAAACTCATGCCGGGAGCTTGTGCATGCCCAAGATCCCCAGAGGAGAATGGAGGAGAAGAGATTGCAGCATGGCCATCACCCCCCCGAGTGCATGCGCCCTATAGCAAAAACCTCTAAAAAAAAAAATCCTAAGAACAAATAAAAGAATTTTGCAAGACTGCAGAACATAAGGTCAATATTTTTTAAAGGATTATTTATTTATTTTATTTATTGTCATTATTATTGTTATTTAATTTGACCAGAGAGAGAGGGAAAATGAGAAAGCAAACTACCAGATCTGGGACTCAAACCTCAGTTTGAGTAATATGAGTGTCCAGCACCTTATCCACCATGCCGCATGCTGGCTCCCATAAGGTCAATATTTTAAAACCAATTGTGGGCCTTCCCTGTGCCTAATGGGTAAAGTGTTGGGTCCCACTTGGCCCCAGCAGCTTGCAAAACATACTGGGCACTTGGATGTGTGTGTGTCTAAAACCCTGGCTGCATAGAGAAATGGGGGAGAAGGGACTGCAGCGTGAGCACATCCCACAGGGTGAGTTCTCTCTCATTCTCTCTCTCCCTCTCTCTCTCCCTCCCTCCCTCCTCCTCCTTTCTCTGGCTGGTGAACACACCCTCTGATAATTTTTTTTTTAAATTGTATTAAGAGAGAACCAGCAGTTAGCGTAATGGCTATGTCGCTGGACTTCCACGTAGTCGACCGTGGTTCGTGTCCTGGGCCTGGTGGCTTAAAACTCACGCCGGGCGCGTGTGCGTGCGTGCCCAAGATCCTGAGAGGAGAATGGAGGAGAAGGGATTGTGGCATGACCATCCCCCCTGGGGGGTGATTTCTCGCTTTCTGTCTCTCTGTCTCTCTCTGTCTGGCTGGCGAGCACACATGCCCTATAGCGAAAACCTCTCAAAAAAAAAAATTGTATTAAGACAATGAAAGGACAAGTCACACACTGGGAGAAAATATTTGCAAAAATCCTTATGACGCAAGGACTTACGTCTAACATATACAAAGGACTGGTTGGGGTTTTAATTGCTAGAGGGTGCATGCACTTGAGGGAGGTGGGAGGAAGCAACCCTGATAGCGTGTGGTCATGCTGAAATCCCTTCTCCATTTATCCAGCTTGTCAGAATGTTAGCCATGCACACCGACGTGCCCTATGTGTGTGTCAAGATGCTGGGGCTGGGATTCGAGCTGTAGTCAACATCTAAGGTCCAGAGGTCCAGCTCCCTTAACCACTATTCTACAGGGTCAGTCCTACAAAGAATTCTTAAAACAAGGAGAGGGGCCAGCAGGTGACATGGTAGTTAAAGCACTGGACTCCCACATGGCCAACTGCAGTTAGAGACCTGGACCTGGCAACTTTAAAATCACGCAGGGCATGTGAGTGTGCGTGCCCCAAGTCCCAGGAGGAGAATGATGGGGAGAGATTGTAGCAGGGCCATCCCCCTAGGGGGTGATTTCTCGCTGCTTCTCTGTGGTGAGTGCGTGCACCCTATGGCAAAAAACTAAAAACAAAACAACCTCAACAACAAGAAAACAACCCAACTGAAGAAGACACTTCACCAGACAAGACATACAGGTAGCAATAGTATATGAAAAGACCCTCAACATATATGCTATGAGAATTAAATAATCCATCCATTAAAACAACACAGAGCTATCACTACGCACCTATCAGGAAGGCTAAAATCCCAAACGCTGACAAATGCTGGTGAGGAGGTAGAGCAGTGAGAACTTTCATTTATTCCTGGCGGGAATAGGAAACATACAGCATTTGGAACGCTGTTTGGCAGTTTCTCACAAAGCTAACCATATGCTTACCATCCAGAAATCATGTTCCTAAATATTTACC